CCAGGCCAGAATTTCTGATCAACAACATGGCAGTTGGTAATGGAGACAAGTGTCTGAGACAATGCATTTTCAGTTCATTTCTATAAGCTCTGGTTACTTATATTCATCTCCCATAAAATGGGTGCCCAGTGGAATGCCTATTCATACCAGCAGGGAGAGATCTCCAACACATGACAAGTAAATAAAGCAAGAATGCAGAAGGGTGCTTAGGGTATAAACATGTGTATAAATTACAACATACACAAAGTAAGGCCTCTTGTAAGTGCGTTCACATATGTATACATATATATGCCTCTGTATGTATTTCTTCCCATACTGTACAGATCTGTGACCACTCCTGGGAGTGCTGCAGTCTTTAATCATGGCGTTTAAAATTGTCAAGACACAAGTTCTCTCTTGTCCAAATAAAATTTATTAATAAACTCTGTAAGAGAGAGAGATACTTTTGATTGTTTTCTAGATGTCTGTGAATAAATGCAATCGTGATCTGAGGAACAAAACAAAATGAAACAAAAAACCCCAATATATATGCAAATACGTATATGCTTATATTTAACTAGAATCATAAAAACAAGTTGATTACCAGACTTGGCCACTAATGTTGCCATAGGGTGGAGACACTTGCCAACTGGCAGCCTGTGGGGCTGGCTGGGAGAGAGCACAGGCGGAGGGCAGGTGCACAGAGACAGCAGAGAAAGAGAGGACGAGTTATAGAGAGAGAGACAAAAACAAGTGGATTGATGGATGCGCTGTGAACTTGGGCTAATGACCGCCTATGGAAATGGGAGTGGAAATGGGACTGTGGGTGACAGTTAAAGCCATTTAAGTTGTATCAGTAATAAGAATAAAACATTAGATGCAACAGAAAACAAAGGGGTAACAGCTGCTTTTACTGAGTGGTAAGAATGTGAGTGTTTGTTATCCTAATCGTCGTATTTTTTTTTTTAATTTCTGAGAAAGAGTTTCATTTTAATAAGTCCTCCTCATCCACACACTGTGTTCCAGGCCCTCAGATGTGGCTGGTGGGAATTATTTATGAGTTTCCCAGATCATCCCCATTCCGCTTGCCACTGCCCAGGCATCTCGGATTTCCAAATGAGCCCTAACTAGCCCATTACTGATTAACAAGCTGCGCTTTTTATAATGAGTAAAAATAAAGTCATTTATTTCTAAGTTCAACAACCATTTGTCAAATACCAGGCGGAGCCTCAGGCGTGATGGGCTGAGTGATCGCGGGTTTCTGTGACAAGTCGCTCCTGGTCTAACAGGACAGATGATGTGTCAGCAAAATAACAACAGTGCATGAGGACTAGGGTAGAACGAAAGAAAGCGTTTTTACTAAATATTGTGTGGGACAAAAGAGGAGGGAGGGCAGTCCTTCCTGGAAGGACAATAAAGAAGCCTGGGGAGGCTTATTCGTAAAGAAAAGAAGAAGAAAACGTAAAACCACAGGGGCTCTTTTCAGTGTCAATTACGCACGGATCTCAACACTCGGAGCACCCCAACCAAAGAGGAGGTATCATTCCATCGTTTTGAAGTTGAGCAAATAAAGGCCGAGAGAAGTTAAGTAACTTGGCTGGAAACAAAGAGCAATTAAGTGACACCGCAGATTCAAACCCAGATTTGAAAATTCAAAGCTGAGGAAGGCGGGGGATATGAAGAGATGGAGGTTTGTCTGAGTCAGAACTGAGGGACTTCTGGTACCCACACCTTCGCTCTTTTTCTGGCCTGGGATGCCCACTGGCAATAAAAGATCAAGGGTGTGTGCAGCCTGGGGCATTTGCCATTTCATCCTAAAATGAGAAGTAAATACAATCAGGCCTAATAAAGATCGGAAAGATGCAGGCGTAATTCTAAACGAGGTCAGCCTTGGATACATCATCTCATCTTGCCTCACTCTAGCAGAATGCCTTTAGGTTGCCTGACTTTGAAAGAGGGGATATTTCGCTTCCAACCTCACAGACACGTTCCTGTGGTCCAGGCAGGGACGGTGACAGCAGCTCAGCCTGAGAGAGGGGAGCAGGGGCTGGGAGAGGCTCTGAGGACAGCTGAGGGGGAGGCACTGCCCTGGGTGCCGCCTAATCCATCCGACATGGGGACACGCTGTTCCAGAAACCGGATGACAATTAATAGGATAAATCTGCTCTCACAGTGCTGCCAAGCCTGTCGCAGGGTCTCAGCTGGTGGCGCGCCTCCTGCGGGGAGAGAATAATGTCCCATTCTTCCCTTTGGTCAAGGCCCCAGTGCTTTCTCAGGTGGGAGGAGGAAGAGCAAGGAAAGTTTCTCCCATGGTAGGAAAATTTTGCACCAATAATAATGCCAGGTCCTCAAAGCCAGGAGCCCAACAATTACGCTAAGATCGAAGACTCAGAGCTCGCCTAGTGGTCGCTGATCTTCCAAACCTGTGAAGCCCTGCTTGGCACATGGGATGGTGGCAGATAAAACAGCTCCCCCAAGATACCTGACAGGGGCCTCCTTTTGTTTAAGCCACCTGGCTTCAGGCCAGACTTCCACATGTAGCAGTTTTATAATTTGCCCGTACACGTATTTCTCTTGGTCGAAATATTTCATATGCTTCAAGAAAACCTGGCTTGCTTTGCCATGACTTGTTCAGCTTAACCAAGAGCAGAAGGAGAGGGCAGAGGCAGGAGACTTCTGGGAAGCCAGGCAGTCTGCCCCCATGCTTTCTGCTTTTCTAGTTCTCTATGGAAATTTCTTGCTATATTTGAGGGTTCTAAACTTGCAGGAGAGTCACGGATTCTTTTGAGAATATAATAGAAGCTGTGGACTAGTTCCTTCCTAACCCCTCACCACGCCTTCCCCGCCACAAACAAACACTCAAACATTTGCATGCAAGTTCTGGGGACCATTATCCGCCTGAATCTCATTCACGCTTTCCCCTTCAGGTCCTGAGCCCCCAGGCCAAGACCCCCACCACGTACGCCTGCTCATGTGTAGAAGTCATAGAAAAGCATCTTTCTGGAGCCCATAATCTCACCAGGAAACTCCAACCCGAAGCCTAGCTCAGGAACCTGATGGCTTGCTGAAGCCTTCATCAGCCCTTCCTACCCATCTCATATTCACATCAGCCACAAATGGAAACCCCAGATGGGAGTATGTCTTGAAATTCAAGTTTCAGTTTAAGAACTGGTACCCAGCCTCTCCTGAGCCATTTGGTCAGATCCATCCTGGGACCAGGCAGATGGATGCTAATTCACCATGTTAACCCCTTTCGTGCCAGTCCCTTTATCCAAGCCTTGGTGGAGAGCCGCATCGCCCACCCGACTCCGGCTGTGATGGGGTTGCATGCTCTGTGTCATGGAAACCAGCCAGCAGATTTAGCAATCGTGTTGCCCTTGGCATCCGTTCTGGAACTCTGTGTAGAGCTACGTGCTGAGATACCACAGCATGGGCAACTTTTCAGTGCCAGAGTCCACCACCCTACGTCTAGCAATGCTAACACCTTCTCATCCTAGCTCCAAGGGTGGATGCAGACAAGAGAAAAACCAAGCTACTCAAACAAAGAGTCTTCTTCACCAATAATAAAGAGAAAGCTAAGCCCTCTTCATGTGCCCTCAAATCCAACTTCCTTCCTTCCCAAATCATCCTCACTGCATCAGCCCAGCTAAGAAGTGTTTTCAGCAGTTACAGAAAAGCCAGGTGGTCCACAGTTTGGTCCTCACAGATGTCAGCACTGCCTTCAATCCGTCATTACCAATAATAATGGTGTAGACAGGTGTTTGCACCAGGACCACCAAAGCCCGCCACCAGAGGCCCTCTCAGAGCGCAAAGAGAGATTGAAACAGTATCTTTTCATTACAAGAAGCCACATTGCCCCCACGAGACCCTTGCAAACGAAAACTCCCACCTTACCCTTCATTCCAAATTTGGACCGTCGACCATACTTGTTGATCATAATGAAGAGAACCACCAGCAGGACACAGGCAAAAGCAGCCAGTCCGACCGCTATGGATACCTGTGAGGGGCCAAAACCAGACGGTCAAGAGCAGTCGCAGAAAGTCCGAGTGCCGGACGACCTAACGTGCACGCGCAGATGAGGACCGTCCTATGACGGTGGCAACTGTGGCCCTGTCAGCACTTCAGCAAACTTCAGAACTTCTCAGACTGAGCATAAGTCTTGAGAGGAAGTAATTTATGAGACTCTAAGGACATCAAAAATAAATCACCCAAATTGACCAGAGGGAGTTCTGCGGCTCAGTGTTCTGAGCCCCTCTCATCTGGGGACCATCCTAAGAGAGGCAAGGGCAAGTCCAGAGGGGTTTCTGTCCGTTGTTTTGTTGTGGTTTTAGTTGGCAAGCAAATTCTGCACCTTCACATTGACATTCTTTGCATAATATTCTTATCCAGAAGGTTCTAGGAGATCTGGACTCTAAGAAGTCCCCTTTCCTTTCCTCCCCAGGGAAATCTCAGGCTTTGAGACAGCAGGATGGGAGCATTGGGTGGGAGATGGCCTGGGAAACTCTGAATTTTGTAAAAGGCTGTACAGTTAACAGCCCCCTCAGAATCGAGCCCAGCTGGCTCCTAATGGAGTGGGCGTTTTCAAACTGTTCCCTTCCGAGCCCTAGGGCTTAAAGCAGATCCTCAAAGACTTCCTCAAACAATGAATTATTCTCATCAAACAAGGAAGATTTCAGCCACCTGAAAGGAGGGCATTCATCACAGCCTCTTACTGCCATACATACCGGAGTTTCATGTAAGGCGATATTTCAAAAAGTTAGCTACTAAAATGGAAGACTAAGCACCACTGCATCAGCAATCACCTTCCTCTTGAGCAAGAAGAGACTCACCCCAAAAGTGTCTTCCTCTGGCTTGTGGGTCACAGTGATAGGAGGTGTGGGGCTCACTTCATAGACTGTAAACCAAACAGAAAAGGAGGAGGGTAGTGAGCTCAGTGGCCACAAGAGCCTCAGCCGCAGTCCCCACCCACCTCCCAAGTCCCCTTGAACGTTCTTGCTGGAGAGCATTCACCTGAAGCCAGGCTCTTACTGCCTGACGCCCCCAGGCTTTGCAATGGTCCTTAGAGACGAGGTCCCAGTGCGGCTGCCTGGCAGGTGTTGACAGCTTGAGGACAGACTCCGTGGGTATAAAGAACTTTCACTTCCATCCCCTGACCCTCATCCCAGAGTCAGTGTAACCTGGGCAATGTGGGCCATAAGCTATTGGATAGATAGGAGGGGAAGAACGTTTTGGGATGATGGTCAGGGTCTGGATTCGGCACATTCTGTCGGTGACAGCAGCTGCAGCCAGCACGCGGCTCCTCTCTGCTGCAGGCATGCCTGCTCCCATCCCTGGCTCTCCACACCCTTCCTTTTCCCCTCTTCACTCTTCAGTGAGATCCAGGAGGCCCATGTTCCCCTAAACTACTCACTATCCAGTCCCCTAATTCAGATTTCAGAACACAATGGCAGCCTCAGTTAAGCCACAAGTTCATCCGACTAAGAAGCACCAACTCTTCCAGCACGGCCTGGGTGGGGAGCCAGGCATCCACCTGTCCTCCATCTAGAACCACCTCCTTGTCAAGAGATGGCCCCCATTTGAAGTTGTCTGGGGGGACAAACAAAGGAATCACAGGTGGTATTTACATCCGTGCCAGACAGCCAGGGGTGTGCTAAGCAGGACTGTCTACTGTCGCAGGTGGCCGTTCCTCTCCGACGGCGGAGAAGAGGAAAAGGAATAAACACAGGTTTCCCCACAGCCCATGAGCAAAACAGCAAATCCTTTTGGGATTGTCTAGCCCTGGCCCCAAACTGCTGGTAAACTGACCTTCAGTAATCTTATGTGAGGACAGGCGAGCCTATCAATCACAGCTCCACACGAGGTGGGTCCCAGCCAAATTCTCGGGCTCTCAAAGCAGGTGACAAACACTAACAGGTTCATGGGCTCGGCGTTCTCTCTGCAGGAACTACTGAGATGCTCAGCAGAGGTCCACTGGGGCGCGGGAAACCCACATCCTTCCTGACACCACACCTCTCCATCTGGGTAGGAAGACCCACCACACAGTCAGACCCCTGAAAACTCCCTGGGGGAAACTGAGGCACCGAGTGATTGCCCGAGAGGTGTAGGCTTGGAACTGCCCAAGAAGCATTTCTAGTCTCCAGTTCCCTTTCACTTTTCACTCAGGTGCTCTCGGCTGCCATGGGTCTGGGCATGGTGGTGGAATGGGAAAGAGAGCTATTTGGATTCAGTAGTTACCAAATGTATCAGAATAAATCAGTTTCAAAGGAAAACGTAAAAAAGACTTACAAGAGACAAAGTTATCCGTGCTCTCTGCAAAAAAGACAAAGAGATCATTAACAAAGGTAATAAAAACCAAACGGTCGCATTTGATCTTCCTAAGAGCTATGACCTCTCCCACTCACCGTGATCCCCTGTTAGCCAAGTAACCGCAAAGCAAAAGGCTTGGCACGTGACGCCTCCCCTACACTCTCCCACCTCTTTAGCAAGTGGTCTTCCAAATGGAGAAGGAATAAGAGCTAAAACTCCTGGTTTCCAGGAGGGTGGCCTGGCCCACTTGGAGACTAGAAACCAAACTGTGAGATGAGGAATTAAATCCAGACTCACCGTCTCACCCACAGCCCACCCTCCCTCAAGTACCCAGAGTGCTGGGGATGTCGGTGGTATGTTAGAGTCAAGAAGAAACACTGCAGGATGGGCTTCCACAGGCTTTCCTTGAAAACTCCAGCTATGACCTCAAGACACAATTCCTCAAATCGATATGTAGAGTTTATTCTAGTAGGTCATCGAGACATTCTTGGGAGTCCCTCTAGAATCTGCCCACTCCCCAGATGAAAATGTGTTATTTGATCTTTGGCCTTTAGAAATGGCTCACCTAATAATGAAAGCCAATCATTACTGAGCATTGATTGTGAGCCAGAAGCTGTGCAAAATGCTTTACGTAACACATCACTCAATCCTTGTAGCCACCCTAGAAGGTGCATAGCATTATCCCCTTTTAACAGAAAAGGGAACAGGCTTATGGAGATTAAGTAACTAACTGAATGTCACTCATTTAAGAAGGGATCGAACAGGATTCAAATCCAAGTCTGAGCCGGTAACCACTCTGTGGTGCTTGAAAGTAAGCAGTCAAAAATTAATGGGGGCATGAAGAAATGACATGGGAGCCAATATAAGGGGATTTCCAATGGCCAAACTGGGGACAATCTGAACAACAAAATAAATGATGGTATCCATAGATCATTATGGGGCGAATTATATCTGTCCAAAATTCATATGTTGAAGTCCTAACCCCTCAGTACCTCAGATTATGACTACATTTAGAGACACGGTCTCTAAGAGGTAATTAAGTTAAAGTCATTAGGGTGGGCACTCATCCAATACGGCTGGTGTCCTTATAAGAGGCGATCAGGACACAGACACACACAGGGAAGACCATGTGAAGACACAAGGAGTCAATGGCCATCCATAAGCCCAGGAGAAGGGCCTCAGAAGGAACCAGTCCTGACACCTTGATCTCAGACCTCCAGCCTCCAGAAATGTGAGAAAATAAATTTCTGCTGCTTAAGCCATTCAGTCTCTGGCACTATCTTATGGCAGCCCTAGCAACTTAATACATGGACTATAATTCATAGAACAAAATAAATACCCAGAAGTCCACACTGATACAAATAGGTGATTTAATCAACAAATGAGGAAGAAAAGAAAGCTTTTTCTTACAGTAGAATTCCAATTAATAAATGTAGAGGGAATGACAGAAATAGAAAAGTCACCATTGAAAAATGACACAGTAATAACCGTTCCAGGCAGGAATCATCAATGAACGCTAAAATTAACGTGTGAAAGAATGATAAGAAACAAGATATTTACAAAGCTCCAAAATAAGGTGCTTATTAATTATGGAAGGAAAAAATAGTCACTGGGCATCAGAGAAACCTGGCAGACACCATCTTGACCAAGTGATAAAGTTAGCATCACTGGTAATAAGATGTACAGACGCCGTGTACCCCCGATGCCATGTACTGAAAGGCACAGCATTGCTTCTGCCGTGCTCTTGTAAAAAATGCATAACTGGCATTCAGTTGTGAGAAAACATCAGGCAAACACAAACAGTGGGATGGTGGCAAAATAGCTAGTGAGGAGTCTTCAAAAGTGCACAGATTGTGAAAGACAGAGACTGAGGATCTGCTCCAGATTTAAAGAGAGTAAAATAACATGGCAACAAAATGCAGTGAATAGTCCTGGACTAGACCTCAGAGAAAGAAAGGACGGCAGTGGGACAAGATAAAATTTAGATAAAGTCTGTAGATTAGGCATGAAGGTTGTATCAGTGTTACTCCCCTGGTTTTGATCACTGCGCTGTGGTTCTGTAAGATGGTAACATTAGAGGAAGCTGGGGGAAGGATCTAAGGAAGGTTTTGTACTATTTTGTAACTTTTGGGGGATGAATCTCAAGCTATTTCCAAATGAAAAGTTAAAAATCTTAAAAAAAAATTTTTTTTCAAAAAACATGGATTACTGGTCCTCACTCCAGAGTTTCTGATTCAGGAGGTCTGGGGGAAGTCTTGAGAATTTGCACTTCTAACCAGTTTCCAGGTGATGCTGGTGCTGCTGGTCCCTTGGAGGACCACTGTGTTACACCACACCCCCCCCCCAGCCATGCGCCTCCACATCTTGAAAAATAAGAGCAATTCCTTCATTCATTCATTCATTGTGGGTCTTCTCTTGACCAGGCCCTTGGCTAAGATTTCACAGGCATGGCTGTCATAGCTCTATTAAGGATGCACCCGCGAACATTCTTCTCTAACTACCTGTGGGGAAAATGATGCTTTCTGTGAAGGAGGTCTTTAGAGAAACTCCTATTCACAGTAAACACACCATTAGTAGATGACTTGTTCATCGTCCACTTTGCCTTGTTTGGGGGAAGAGCAACAGAACTATCTTCAAATTCCCAAGCATGCCCTTCATGCCACCACCCTCTTGTTAAGTTCAGGTGACCAGATGCCTGATGTAGGGGAAGGATGGAAGAGAGGGGGCCCTAGCCTTGGCCTCAGAGCCTGAGAAAAGAGAGGTGCCAGGTCAATTCATAGTTAACACTGATTTGCATATTTCTCCTACGGCTCTCATTTTTAGAGAATATTCTCATGTCAGCCAAATGTTTTGGCCAAGACAGTGAACCCTGTAATCTCTCAATTAGCCTATGAATACTCAGCTCCTTTTCAGAAGCCTGGAAATGTGTATGCACCCAGGAAGCACGCGAGCCTTGGAACAGCCAGACCTCCTGGCTGTTTAGTTTCTCTCTAACCTGTGGGAGGACTCAGAACTTCACCCTGGAAGAGGATGCTATCCTGGAGTGGTCCTCATACTCTGCCCCAGCCAGCGGGCTGGGAGGACAGCTGGACCGGTATGCCAGGACAGCATCTGAATCCAAATGCAGGCTGGGCGTGAATGCAAGGCACATGTGCCCTCCAGTCCCAGACCACACCTCCTTCAGACCCCAAACTCCTCAAGAAAGGCCCAGTGGGAAAAGCCAGCCAGGTCCAGAGAAGGGAGAAGAGAGGCAGCAGCTTGTGTTCAGACAGAGATGGACTGGGAAACGATGACGAGAAGTGATCCCTGGCTGTAGATGTGAGGAGGGAGGAGGGCGCCGCGCCAGGCGACCACATGCTCTGCCCATCCCACACAGAAGGCCACATGCAGCTGCTGGTTGGTGAACCGTGGAAGGAAGCAACGATGCCTCCTTTTCCACAGCACCAGCAGGTTGGGACCACATTCTAGGCTCAACAAGCTTCTTAGAGGAAGGAACCCCGCCTTGACGTGGCTAAGGGCGCTCAGGCCATGGTTTCTCCCACTGTTTGTACCAGGGCCCTGAGGGGATTCTGGTTTGTGCTGATGAAGAGACTTCCTGGCCAAGTACAAAAGGGGAATTCAGAAGTGACGGCAGCTCACTTATTCCGAAATGTTTTGTAAATATTCTCAGATATTTGTAGCACATGTGCTTGTTCACGCACACACACACAGACACACACACACACACACCCTTGGCGACATTCCTCCTTCTAGCACATCATCATCTAAGGACCCCACCTGGTGGCCTTCCAGGTACCACCTCGACCCTGACATGATCCCCAGCCTCCCCTGTCACCCAGATCCCTGATTCCTCACGGCTCCCACTCATGCCCAGATCCCTCCTGACGGCCCCTCTAAGGTCCTGGAACACCAGAGGTAATCACCACAGGTGATCGGTGCTTCTAGAAAAGACCTCCCTAGCCAGACTTTCCAAGGACTGGTTCCTACACTCAGGCTGAATGCCAGGCTGAACATTCCAGTGCTTCTCTGCAAATGCAGAGGGAAACACCAACATTCGTACTGCATGTGCAGCTTACAAAAAGCTTTTCTGGAACATTTTTATTTCAATGCCCTGCTCTGAGGAGAACCTCAGCACTTGCAGATCGCCCCCCTAAATACATTCATTCCAATCCAACCTCTCCTATGGGTCTCGGGCCCCTGAGCAATCAGGAAAGGAGACGCTCACCTTTGTGATCTCTGTGTTTTCCCCTAAAACAAATCCCCTTCTGTTGCCCTTGAAGGTGTGCGTGTGTGTTTTTTTAATAAAAACAAACAGCAATTCTGTACTCACTCTGTGCCAAGCACTGTGGGAGATACTTTGGGTGGGTTAACCCACTGTGTGTGGATTCATCCTCACCACGACCTTTGAGGAAGCAGCGCTTCATTCATCCCCAGGGCAAGTTAGGGGGAGCGATCACTGGTGATTGTTCCCACTTCACAGATGAAGGAGCAGAGGCAGTGATCATCCTTCCCCTCTAGCCAACCACGTGCTAAGCCCCATTCTCGGAGCCGAGGCTGCCTGTCTGGTTGGGCCACAGGTGGGACTGGCCCCTCGATCTGTCAGATCTCAGAATCCTTCCTCTTAATCTCTATGCGCTGCTGTCTGGGAGTGAGAGGGGTGCAGATGACAAATACGATGTCCCCACACCCTCACGGCAGGAGAGCAGGAAGCCACAGGGAGCCTTTGTACCCAGGGCTCAGCAGGTGTGGGGTTTACTGCCTATTCCTCTGGATAATTTACTCCCTTAAATGTCTAGATATTTTGTTGCTTGACACGCCTGGCCCATCTTTTCCCTGTCACCGCCTTTTCATCATCCATTGATTCCTTTAGGCTCATAAAACAAGCAAACCTTCGCACAGGACAGCCCTGGTAGGGTGTATATGGGTCTGAGGACCCCACTTCGGGTCAGTTGTTCCCCTACAAGCTCCTCTGTGACTCTGCCCTCCCTCTCTAGGGCTGGAGTCCACCAAATGTCATGACAGCAGATTGCAAACGAGGGAGCAGCTGAGTCACTTGAGGGGCTTGTTAAAACTCAGACTGCTGGGCCCCTCCACCCCAGAGTTTCTAGTTCAGGAGGTCTGGGTGGGACTCCAGAATTTGAGAGCTAACACACGCCCAGGTGATGCTGATGCTGCTGGCCTGGGGACCACCCTTTGAGGACCACTGGCTGGAGGAGAGTTGATAAGGTGATGAGAATATCCAGAGATGACGAGGAGGGGCTGCTGTGTCTCTTGGGGACAGAGGAGGTGTCTACAATTGGGAGGATGCAGAAAACTGCAGCCCTCCCCAGGGGAGGGGCGGACAAAGCAAAAGCCATGCCTACCATGCATTCCCAGGGGCCCTGCTGCCCCGCGGACAAGACACCCTCTGCGGGGAGGAGCCAGAGTGGCTCACCCTCCCTCTTGAGCACTCCATGGCTCCCTACTCTGTCCAGGCCTCAAGAGCTTCCCTTTGGAAACAGAAGCATTACTTTGGGGGCCTTAACTCCTCACCCATCATGGAGTGTAGACTCTCCTCCTTAAAAACAGATTTCATTGTCTAATCACCAAATGGGCACAAGCAAAGCAAAGGGCCACTCCAGCCCTTTAGGTCAACAAGGCCTAGCCTGACTTTATGGCCCTTAAAGAGAAAAGTAATTCTTGTATCTAAAAGCCACTGCCTCCACAGTGCGGGCCAGGGCCAGGACTCTTCCAGCTCCTACAAAGCTCGTGTGGCCCATGGTGGGACCTTTTACTGAGCGTACCGGGGTGATGCTGAAAATGTCAGACCATATGGCCTCAAGTGTCAGCACGTTCTCAGTCCTCTCCTGAGCGAAGGCGCCATCATCCCTGGGACCTCAGCGGAAAGAATTTAGCTTCCCAGGCAGCCTCATTTCTTCAGAGTTTCTCTCAAAACCTCTAAAGTTCTAGGTTCTTTGCACTAAGACTAAAAGGGTCTCTCGGAGCTGCTCCCCTCTGGTTATCTGTAAGCTGTCAAGTCACCTTCACAAAAGCAGCTGTTGCAAAGGGTTAGCTTTCACTGTCCTCCACCTGTCTGTGTCTGGGTGCGTGACATATCCGTCTTTCCAACCCTCTTTATCTCATTAGAACACCCCCCCCAATTTCTAGGAATTGAAGGCCAAGAGGTCCTCTAGCCTGTTCCCAGCAGAAATCACCGAGGTCATCAAAGACACGTGGCTTCACTGACAGAAACTTAATCAACTGCTGAAACCACCAAGAGATGCTGCAATGACTTTTACTAAACTCTTGGAGTGTTTCCTTCTCCTCCAACTTCAGGGAAGTATTTGAAATATTCTAGCCCAGACAGAGGCAGAGTTACCTCTCAAATATTCAAACAAAGCCCTTTCATTATTTTAATTCCTATCCCTCGTCCACGTGACATCAGCACCATCACAGGCTGCCAGCATCAGTACCCCGACCCCTGCTAGCTCACCACGGCACTGGAGGGGAGAGGAACCACGGACCTGGAAGCCTGGACCCCCGCCAAGGCCTTGCTGCTACCCAGCCAGGAGGAAGAGGTTCCACTGACTCAGATGTTAAATGCAGGGTTGAACGGGACAGACTCTGAAGTCCGTTGCAATGGAGGGTCATTGAACCATCATTGTCTACCAGAGCCTGTGATATGTGTTCTGTTTACTTTAAGTCGTTTAAAAGCCACAAGATTCTATGGGAGCAGTACAATCATGCCCACTTCACAGATGAAGGAACTGGGGGAACTGTCATGCGCAGAGTCTCCCAACCAATAAAGGACTGGGTTCAGATTCTCCATCATTCCTGTCCAACTCTCAAGTTCCCGCTTTCTCTACCATAACACAATGTGCCCTTAGATGCACACCTGTGTATTTCTGAGCGGGTCTTAGATTTTACTGTGACAGCTATCAGAAAACCGATTTTATGTAGTTTATGCAAAATGCTGGTGGTGGCTGAATACGTCCCACACGCGTCCGGTTGCCCGTGATGACGACTTTCATGTTGAAGCTGCTGCTTCTCCTCTCAAAGCCACCACGCCCCATTCCCCGAGCTCTTGGAAGGAAATGGTCACCCTGCAGTGGCTCTGCCCTTACCTGGAAAGGGCTCCTTGAGGAAGTGGCCGTTGATGGTCTGGTTGGCTGTGCCCAGGGGGTTCTTGGCAATGAGGGTGTAGTTGCCATTGTTGTAGTGGGTGGGCTTGTTGAAGAGCAGGCAGCCCTCGGAGACCTCGCCCTCCTGGTAATACTCCACGCGGATGATCTTGGACTCCCGCAGCGGCTGCCCGTTGTGCAGCCAGTGCAGCGTGGGCGGCGGGTTGCCGCGCACCACGAACTCGATGCAGTGCTCCAGGCGCAGCTCCGGCTCCTCCAGGCTCACCACGCGTGGGGGGTCTGCCGGGGGAAGAGGGCAGCTGACGCCAGGACCCAGAGCCTCTTGTGTCCCAGAGCAGCCTTCCAGGAACGGGGGTGGGGATCCCAATTCTTCCCCACCCAGCTCCAAGAAGACTCAAGGAATCAGAGGTCCCTCCACCTGACCACCACTCCCAAAGTGGGGAAGAGATGTCTGTCTTCACCCAAACTTCCTGGGTCCATCACAACTGGAGGGTTCCCTCTCACAGCCTTTTAGGGGTTTAATAAAAGGCAGACTTGGGCCAACTTAGGAGTAAAAGCATAGATGAGTTGGAGGCACATCGTCTTCTGAGGGACAGGGACACTCTTTCTGGGGTTACTAGCCAAGGATTGACTTGCTCAGTCCTATCCTATAAGAGTTTGTCTGCTCCTCCTGGTAGACCCAGCCCCAGCCTCCTGGGCTGACATCCCCCTGGTACACAGCCACCCGCCACAATGGTGCCCACTCACAGTGGACCGTGAGGGCGACGCTGGCATTGCTCATGCCCACCACGTTCTCTGCAATGCATGTCAGGGTGAAGCCATTGTCCTCACTCGTCACATTTACCAGTGTCAGGTTGATGGCATGTACATTGGTCCAGTTCAGATTTGTCTAAAACCCCAATAAAAAAGACAACAATCAAACAGTTTCTATAAGGGTGGCTCCCCCACCTAATCCCCAAACGCCACTAGGAATTAAAAGGAAAATTGAGCAGAAGGAAAAGGAGACTTTTCCAATGAATGCACGCTGACCAAGTGCCAAGCTCTTTAAAGTCAAGAGCTCAGGTAAGCCTCACCTTTACCCTGTGAGGTGAATGGTAGCATTATACCCACTTTACAGATGAGGAAAGTAAGGTACAGAGATGTTTAGCAGCATGTTTAATATCAAGTTGGCTAGATAAATTAGCAGCTTGGGATTTGCAGATACTACTATATATAAAACAGATAAACAATAAAGTCTTACTTTTAGCATAGGGAACTATATTCAATAGCTTGTGATAATCTATAATGCAAAAGAATATGAAAAAAAATATATATATATAACTGAATCACTATGTTGTACACCAGAAACTAACACAACATTGGAAATCAACTATACTTCAATTAAAAAAAAGATCAAGTTGGCTAGAAAATGTTACAGCTGGATGGAATCCAAGTGTTTCTTCCTGTTGAAACAGGACCACAAACTTTTCCTCTTCTTCCTTATTCTCACATCTCTTGCTCCTGTTCATGATTTAGCTCATTAAGACTAAGAGGGGATGGGGCCCAAGCCCAGAACGCCTACCTGGTGGGTGTTGATGGACTGCAGCCCAGTGACTATCCAGTCCACGTCGGGCAGGGGCGAGCCAGAGCCATTGCAAGTGATGACAGCGTTGTCACCCTCTCGTACGGTCAGGTTGACATGACTCACACTGATCTCTGGGAGGTCTGGGAGGGAGAACAGGATGGGCAGATGCTGACTACCAAGACTCCATCCATGGAGTCAAGGGTGGCACGTCTTACTTTGTCCAATAATGACTCCAACACAGCCTGCTTGAGCTCTTGGAAGCCCCCCAAGTCCCAGAAGCTTCTCACCACCTCCCCAGCAGAACTTAAGCTCATGCAGTTGGACTCTCCTCCATGGCGGTGAGGGGGTGGGGGTGGTACAGTTGCTCAAGGAATGCAGTTCTAACCATGAAGTCACATGGCATCTTCTGCTTCTGGCACTGGTTCTCAAAAATGTGATCTGCTTCAGACTCCTCTGGGGAGCTTGCTAGAAATTCAGATTTCCATACTCATCTCCAGACATTCTGATCTCATTAAGTGTATGCTTGGGACCAGACATCTCCTCTAAAAGTGCCTTAGATGCTCCTGATGCAGGAGGTTCAGAGACCACACCTGGACATACACCGTTTCAGGTGTGGTTGACAGGTAACTCAGAGAGAGAAAGGACTCTGGTCCGATGAGAAAGGACACATTTAACCCCTTTCTGCATCCCTGAAATCAACCTTCCCATGGCTGGCTCCTGAAGGGACAGGAATGACCAAGGAGGGAAGAGGAGAGCCGGACCTGCACCCAGTGCAGGGTTCAAGGCGGGGGAGCTGGGCTGGGCAGTGGGAAAGGAAGGCCCTGGCTGCCGGGCTGATGTGCAGCCCCATCTCTCGGGGCTGCAGGCCGGGCGGCTCACTCACCACACTGGCTGATGTTCATGCGGAAGAGGGGCAGCTGGGAGCCGTCGGCACTGATGCAGTAGAGGTTCTGGCTGTTCAGCTTGGCCTCCCCCTGCTCCTGCCACAGCTGCATCCAGCGGATGTCACAGCTGCAGTTGAAGAAGTTCTGCTCCAGCCTCCTGTGGGCAAGAAGAGAGGGAAGGGGACTCCTGAACCGAAGATGGCCCAGCTCCCTCCCGGGGATCTGAGGCCGAGGCGCCCAGTTGCTCCTCAGGGATCAAGGAGAGAGGGATTGAGCAAGGTCTCCAAAGAAGTAAAACATTCTTAGTTAAGTCCATGAATGTATTTCATTTTAAAACTAATAAACTCATTAGAAAAAAAAAAGGAAAAAAATCCACTCCACTTAACTCACCTGGCAAAGGAACCTTTTAAATACATCAGCTTGGGGAGCTTCTCTTCTCCAAATCCTCAGTGGTTTCCCATCTCATTGAAAGTCAAAGTCAAAGGTCTATGAGATCTGCACCACCTTCCATCCCTCTCTGACATCATTGCCTACCTCCCCGTCCACCTCTCTTCTTCAGCCACATGGACCTCCTGCCTCAGGGCCTTTGCACCTGTTGTCCTTTGTGCCTACAGAGTTTTTACCCAGAACAGATCTTCTAGATTGTCTCCCTGACTTCATTAAGGACTCATATGGCCTTCCCAGACCACCTCTGTAAGAAAGCCACCACCAACCCCTGCCCTAACACTGCCTACTATTTTCTTGCTTCTGGTTTTCATCACTGCCCAGCACCACTTCAAACATTGATTTGATTGCTTGTTTAGTATCTGTCTCCCCAGCTAAACCTTAAGTTCCGTCCAAGTCAGAGACATTGCCTGTTGGTTCAGTGCTGCACCCCCAGTACCTATAGCTGCACCTGCGACACAAATGCCTGTTGAAGGAATGAAAGGAGGTGGGAAGAAAGAAGTTATTCGTCCTGGGGAGAAGGTGGTTAGCAGTTTCCAATATCGGCTCAAAGCCCATCTCGGAACCAGTTTTATTCCTTCATAAATGCAACAAAATCCTTAATAAGCATCTTTCCATGTCTGGCTGTGGGCTGAGTGCTATTGATATGGCTCCTGTTTCCCAGAAGCACTCATCTTGGTGAAGAAGGATGTCTGATGCAGGAAGAGTCAAGTTCAAGGCCTTCCTTCTCCGCTGATTCTCCTTGTGACTTACAGCAAAGCACTTCCCTTCTAGAAGGGCGTTTTCTCATTAGGGGGACAATTGAAGGGCATTAGCTGATGTAAAACTCTCAAAGGGCACCTGATAAATCTGAATACCTGGCTCAGTAGAGGGAACATGAGTCTCTTTCTGGACCAGTAAGGGGATGACTCTGTTGGTGCCCAGAGGAGGGGCACTTGGGTAACTGCACTAAGACCTCGGGCATTTTTGACAACTGGCAAATTCCAAAGTAGTGAAGCATACATCAGAATCAACCAGCTTTCCGAAAAAATTGAGACCCTTGGGGTTGGATTTGGTGTTTTCTAGCCAATAGGACACCACAGGTAGAATGTTCAAACATCCCTGCACGCTATCTTCTTGGTCTAAAAGTACCTGTGACTTTTCCTTACACACCACACTCTTTCAGAAACGGAGAAGGGAACCAACCTTTCTTAAGCATCTGCCTCTCACAACTACATTCAGAGACAGCCAGTCTCATTGCCATAGAGATGAGAGAGTCCCTGCTACGTTTGGAGGAGTCCAGTCACGTGTTCAGGGTCCCTCGGCTGGTGTGTGACAAAGCAGAGCTTCACACCTCAGCCTGCTGGACTCCAAACTCCATGCACTTTCCCCACCATCTATCATGTATAAGGCACTGCTCGACAGGAGATGCAAAGGGGAGCAAGCAGGACCCCTGACTTTGGGGCTCGTGGAGGGAGAGACTAGAGGAAGAACTGAGGAGATGTTGCAGGCTGGGCTATGGAAACGAGAAGGAAAGGCTGCACCATGGCAGAGAATTTGTGTCAAGGAGCATTGGGAAATGAAGCTGGAAGGCTGAGTAGAAGCCAGATGGCGGAGGACTTTCGCTGCCACATCAGGAAGCTTGAAATTCATCCAGGAGGCAGTGGGAATCATTGAGGCCCTTGGAGGTGGAGAATGATGTGAACAAAACTGTGAGAAGAGTAATCCCACAATATTGTACAGGATAAATGAGAGAGGAGGCGAGCTAGAGCCCGGGACACCAATTCTGATGGCTTATAAACACAGGGTCACTGTGCGCAGCGGTAAAGTTCACATGCGTCTCAAAGCACCCAGCCAAAGGGGTGCATGGGGGATGAAATCCAGTCTGCACACCCCTGACCAGACCCAGGGCCTGGCGTGGGGCTCTGTCCACCCAGCAGGGGCATCTTTTCTCATTCACACATAGGCACCATACAGGCTGGCAGGATCCAGGTCAGTGCTGTCAAACTTTTGGTCTCAGAATTCTTTTTCAGTCTTGGCAATGACCGAGGGCCTCAAGGAACTTTTCTGTGAATGATATCTACCACTATTTACCATATTAGAAATCAAAACTGAGAAAATCTTAAGACACAAGAATGCATCAGCACACTTTTAAAGAGTATAAGAAGATGTTCAAGATCAGCTGTACTAGAATATGATTTTATCAAAAGTTGACAGTTACACAAGCTGTTTTAGGTGTCAGTGCCTTTCTGAAGGCAACATTTAATCAAGAGTTTCCTTAATAGAGTTATTTTGAAAAGATCCAGAATGTCTCTTTCCTGTCTAGCTTTCATGTTGTTTTATAGCTCTCACTAAGTGTATTTACCTATGCAAAAGATTTATTAAAGCATAGAAAAAGTGGGGGGGGGAGAATGCATTAGCACAAATGCCATCAATCATCAGAGGAGTGATGTTAGCATATGTCACGTGGCCTCTGCGAAACCCCACTGCACGTGGGAGTGAAAAAGGCACATAATGTCTCAATGCTATGAAAATAGATTTAACCTCGTGGCCTCCCTGTGAGGGTCTCGGGGATCCCCAGGGGACCCTGAACCAGTGTGTGAGATTAACCACTGCCTAGTTAATAAGAGCCTGGAGGAGAGAGGTTAAAAACTGGGGAGAGGGAAGGGGAAAATGGGAACAAATGTCATAAAGAAAGACGAGATGGTATTTGGTGCTTTCCTGGTGGGAGAAGAAGAAGAAAGAGTAAAAGGCTCCAAGGGTTTACACTCCAGGGACAGGAAGTCAATGGTGGAGGGGAGTGTCTTCGGTTGAAAACAGAAGAGAAGAACCCAGTGGAGAGGCAGAGGGTAAACATATGAGGAATGAAGTCGGGGCAGAGCCAGGGATGCAGAGGGGAAGGTGAGGTCCTAGCGCAGAAAAGTGAGGGATGAGGTCCAGGACCTTCGGAGGGATTTGCCCTGGGATTAAGGCAAGATGTCTCTGTGGCTGATAAATGAGAGAGAGAGAAGAGAGAAAAGATGGACAGGAGAAAATGAGGGAGAAGGAGGAAGAATAATAGGGTAATAACATTTGTATCACATTTCACATGCCCAACACCATGCTGAACACCTTACAGGCATCACGCCATTTGACTTTCAGAGCAAGGAGGAAGCACGGGGAAGGGGGCGTCTGGTGGCTTCCCTTGGGAACACAGGTCAGATTAGCTGCCCGGCGTGAGTGGGGGAAAATGAGGTGGGGCACTGGTTTGGATCCACATCATAGCAGCTGCGAGGAGAGGTCTGGCAGCCCTGTTGGAAGGACGCTAAGGGTCCAGATGCTGGAATACATGCAAACTGAATCAGGTCAGCCTGGTTTTTCCCAGCTGCTTCCTTGACAAGATGTGTTCATTCATTATTAAGTAGCTGTAAAAATACAAATTATCCACCTGGGTGGAAAACACTGGATAAGTGAGAGGCTTGGCCAGGCTGCTTTAAGCCACACATGCTTTATTCAGTTCTGCCACTTGTCCGAGCCCTGCTGTGTATCCCAACAGCTCAGGGTTCCCCCAGAAAGGCGGACAGTGTCACAGCATCCTGAGGCTGGTGGGAGAATCTGGCGAGATACTTGGGACGTGTCTGAGACCCCGTCAGCACAGGCATGCTGATCGCTTGTTCATTTCCTGGCATCTTTTCCCTCCAGGATCTGCTCCAACAAAAGGCATGCATCATGAGACCTGGGCCTTTCCTCCAAACCAGAGTCTCCTGGAAACTGCAGAAGAACCCTGAGTTCTTCCCCCATCCCTCTGCACTTGCCACCTAGACAGCAAGACACACACATGGCAGAAAACATTTTGAGTCTGAGAACAGTGATGCCCTGGGCAAATCTGCCTTCATCTTCATATCCTGACAAGAGAGGGTCTAACAGTGAGGTGGACTGGAAGCAAAGAAGGGCAAGCCCTGGGTCTAAATGATGCTGTCCGTTCTCCCATCAAATCAGTAGTCTTCAGCCAGGATTTCAGGGGCAGACTCGAAGAGCCTGACACAAGCCTTCCCCTGCTCCATCAATAATGCAGGCGGCCCCATGAATAATACAGCAGCAGCTGCTTCAGAGCAAAGCTTACCAACACCCAGCCCTTGCCCCAAGATGGCCCGGGGCCTAATCGCCAGGCCCTCGGGGCTTCCTGCAGATTAACTCAGCCCCATCTGAGGGTGTGCACACAGATACTTTGCTGCACAACCGAGGCCAAGACTGGGTGTTTAGAAAACACTGGCTCCCCACCAGTCATCACGCTGGTTCTCTTCTCCCCTCCAGAGGTTCAGTGGTGCTGGTGGCAATCCTAGGGCCAGATGCTGGGAAATGGGGACCGGATCCAAATCTGTCGTCACAGAAGAAAGCATGCCCAAAGGGCACCTGGAGATGCCAGCAGTCCGATGGTAGACAAAGCACCCAAACAAAAGATCACAAAAGATCCAAGTTGAGCCGCTGTGACACCTTGGGTGAATATAGTAAACGAAAGAGTGCTGCCCAACCCCGCCCCCAAAATATGTCAAAGTCCTAACCCTCCCAGTAGCTGTGAATGTGACCTTATCTGGAAATAGAGTCTTTTCAGATGTAATCAGTTAAAAATCAGGGGATGAAATCATTCTGGATTGATGGTAGGCCTTAAATCCAAAGACTGGTATCCTTATAAGAGAAAGGAGAGAAAGAGTAGAGACAAAGAGACAGGGGAGACAGCCACGTGAAGACGCAGGCAGAGGCTGGAGCAGCGCTGCCGTGAGCCAAGGAACTCCGGGAGCCTCCAGGAGCTGAAACAGCCAAGGACAGTCCTCCCTAGAGCCTGTGAAGGGCGTGTAGCCCTGCTGACACCTTGATTTTGGACTTCTGGTCTCCAGAACAGTGACCGAGTCATTTTCCATGGTCTGAAGCCACCAAATATGTTAAGGCAGCCCTCGGAAACGATCACAGCAAGTCACTTAATTCTCCAAGGCTCTGTTTTAACTTGTGTGAAAAGGGGGGTAATTGTGTTCAGCCTCCCTTCTTCACAAAGTTATCATGAGGATACATGGTAACATGCTTTGTGAAGTAAAAGGAGTGACACAGAGGCCAGAAATGATTATCATAATAACAGTATCATTATCACGATTGTTTAGTGACTTCTCTGAGAGTCGTGGCACGTGGTCAGGGCCAGGACTGTGAAAGAAAATGCCAGATCAGCCCAAATCCATCTCTGAAACCGAGTTAATATTTTACCAAGTCGATTAAATCTGCAAATTATACCAGAGGTAATTATCTTTTTGCTTTAAGAAAATGAAATATCCCATTCTATTTTAATCATGTCTGCTCCGGGCGTGCAGGGTACTAAGAGAAGCCTGTTCGAGATACACTAACGGTCCTCAGGGTATCTCTGGAAGGTTTCTGTGCTGTGAGTTTATATCCTCTGGTGCCTCTTGCCTTTGCCTGAATTGCACCAGGGGATTCAGAATCCAAGCTTCTTTTCTTTCTAATTCACGCTTTACTTCTAAGACAATCTCTTTGATTCTTGCTCTAATTTCTGGACAGACAGTTCCAGTCTTCTTGGTAAAGGAAAACGCCATCTTGCCATCACCAGAAACTTTGGAGAGCGCTGTGCAGTGTCAACTCAAGTATCTTCAGACCCGGGCCGTTGACAGAGTGCTGGAGACTCTGAAGCAAGTCTTGAAAGATGCCACCAGTTCTTTCAGTGAGAGCAATGCAGCTCGGACTGGTGAGAGGCAACACGTCAGGGGCTCGGCCAAGACCATACCTTTCATCTCACAAAAGTAAATGCGAAATGCAAGGGCTCGGAGGTGCTAACTTGTTTGGATTTTTTTTCCCCTTTGATTCCACTCAGGGGAGCCGCCATCTTGACAGTGGCTCCTGGACGGAGACACAAAGCACGTGGCGGGTGTTGCTGAGCTGTGTGAGAAAACGGCTGGTCTTTGAAGACAGAAGACCTGAGTTGGAGTAATGCCAATAATCACAGTGCAAATTCCCATTTCCTTGCCATATGATGTTGGACTAGTTATTCACTTGGTCAAGACTCAACTCCCTCATCTGTAAAATTGGGTATAAGGGAACCTCCCTTGTGGGATGGTTCCAGGAGTGAGACAGGACCTCGTATATATTAGGTACCCAATATATGCCTCTTCTTACTGGAAAAGTCACAGACACTCAGTCCTTCTGATGGGGAATCCCAACCGCACAAGTTCTCATATCAAAGATCAGAGGAGGGGCTGGTTGGGGCAGGCGGAGATCCTCAATGAGGGAATAAAATATGCTGAGAAATGGCTGAAGACTTCTGCAGAAGGTTGCTCGAAGACTCACACTTCTGCCTTGGTGATTTTCTGCTGCCCCAGTTCACAGAGCCATCTCCCCCTGGCCTCTCCTCTAGAGCCAAACTTCTTTCTTCTGGAAACACCCGACCCATCCCCACACCCCAGCCCACAGGCTGCGCCGGGCAGACGCTGGCAGTCTAGATGGCTCGTGGCAGACGGCGCCATGTGGGCTAATCAGGAAGTCAGACAAGGAGGTACTGCCCCCTCTTCCATTTGCCAGGAACTGGGAGTGTTTGGCTTCTAATCACAGCCACAGCTAAGAGCCAACACGCGGCCCCTCCAGCCAAAAGATAAATTTTCCACTCTCAACTTTCAATTCTTCCTCAAGAAAATAGACCCCCACCAGGGCAATTGCTCCTTAGAGGGGGCTTCTTTATTTTCTAATATAATTTTTTTCTTATTTAACAATAGGACAGAAATAAAATACTCCGTGGACATGGTGGCTGTCACGTGCTGACTCACACTGGAGGCAACGTCTTCATTTCTCCATAAGTCACGTCCAGCTCACTGGTAATATTGATCCCGGGCAAAGATGAATGCAGAGTCCCATGATCCTCTGGGAGAAATATGACATTTTCTTTAAACATATATCTACGGAGCAACTATTTCTAAAACTCCATGAAACAGGTCACCAGGGCACCATACCACTGATTTTGCAACCAGTGATTTTTTTTTAGAAGGAGCACTGAACGTTTTCTCAATAATTCCGCAACTGCAGACCCAGATATCCCCTGGAGGGAGGCTGTCCCTGGCCTCCCACAGAAGTGGCAAGTGTTCCAGGAGAAATAAATGCAAGACTCCCAATAAAGAGAGCCCGCAGCCCGCAGGGAACCTGATCAGTTCTAGGGCAACATAAGGAAAAACTGCAATCGTGCTTTTTTTGTTGTTGTTGTTTTTTAATTATTGTAGGACAGACCCTTGGGATTGAAGACAGACTGAAAAAGTTGGGAGATGGCTAAGCATAGTGGCCATGATCTTGAGTCCATACGCTCCCACTTAGTTAATGGGTGACCTTAACCAAGATACTTAACCTTGCTTAAGTACCTCAGTGTCCCCAAATGTGAAGTGATAGTAGTCATTCCTACTTTATAAACTTGTTATAAGGATTAAATTAAATAACGTACATAATTCGATTGCTTGGCACAGAGCCTGGCACAGAGTAAGAGCTCAGAAATCAGTGTTAGTGGAGATCGAAGGAGTCATGTTGATTTACCTCTAACATCTTTTCCACCTACAATGATGGGAATGAACACAACATATCCAGTGTAACAGTCTGACATTGACATGTCTGGGACACTGTCTAGTTTTTCAGTATTTTATAAACAAGTAAATCTATATTTACCTTTTTCCAAGCTTAGGTAGGAGTTTTAAATTGTTGTACATGTGGATTGCAGCCACATGTGCCTAGAGAACTCTGATCACTATAACTATTGTGTTCATAGCAGAGAAAAAGCCTAGTGGGAGGGGTAAAATCCTAAGGAAGGAAAGAAACCCACAACAGTCTTATCTGAAACTCTCCAACACTGTCAAAGAGACCATCTCTGTACTTCCCAACACTAGGATGGCCTTTTTAAGCACTTAGATCCATAAGGATGAGTAAGGTATATATAAGACGGTCATAGGGATGTAAATATCCTCCTCCCTTACCAGCTGGTTCAGGAAAAGTAAGGTTATGACTCATCCTTGAACTCAGGTCTTACTAGGCAAAAGGAGGACACATGGGCTGGGGTCCAAGGCCATCGCCTCTTGGTAAAGGAGAGTAAAGCATTCAGTACATTTGGATCTGAGTCACCAAGCAAAAGGGAACACATGAGGAGTATCTCTGGAACCCTGACTCCCTAACTCCAGCCATGCCTCAATTCCTTTCCAATTTATTCCTTGATTTGTTCCCTCAACATAATATGCTGTCCTTCATGCACAGAGATGACCTCGATGACTCACACATCAACATGAGCTATTTTTTCCAGCAGTGGTCACGAGTTTTAACTCATCCATCCAACATGTGCTAGCACAAAATGGCTGGCTACAGTAGGAGTGCATTGATCAGCCTCGGAATGAAGCAAAGCTAAGCAGTCCACAGGCAGACTTAATAAACAGACAGCCTTAGCCCCTACTCAAGCCAAATAGGCTGACAGAAGGTCATGAGAAGTGGGAAAGACTTGCAGCTTGAAATCAGAGGCCGGGAGTCAAGTCCTGGCTCTGCCAATCCCTAGCAACGTGGTCTTGGCTGTGTCTCACATGGCCTTCTCAGGCTCAAAACCCTCACTTTAAAGTGCAGAGATATACTTTATATGAGAGGCATAATACCTACCTCCCATGATGCTTATGATGATAAATCAAAGGTCATGTAAACGAAAGCACACTTAATAATTGATTCACATATTACCAATGTTATTTATTACAAACTGATAAATATGCTTTATTATTATAAATGTCAATACTGTTATTACTCATTACGAACAGGTCACAAAACTAGATCCTTCTAAGAGATGAGAGTCCTGTCTTCTGAAATGTATTGTGCCCAGAAAGAGCATCAGAAATCAAGGGATGGGGTGGCTCACTCTCACTGAACATGGTACACCTCACGTCATCCAACCCAAGAAGCCCCCTCAGGTGTATGCCCAGCCTTAGGTGGCTCCACCCAACAACCTTTGACCACCCCTCCAGTGACATGAACAGTCTTCAAAGCCAAACTTACAATTCCCGAAGACTCAGCGTCTGGAAGAGTTGCCATGAGAGTGTGGTGAGCCGGTTACTGGACAGGTTTCTGTAAGATTGACAAATGAAGAGGAAATTAAAGGGCAGATCTGGCATTAGTCATGCTGTCTGTAGTAAGGTTGGTCATCTCATGGGAGCCTGGCTTTGTTGTTCTTTCTTTTGCTCCATTCTGCTGACAATACATCGGCCAGGAGTTGAGGCCACAGATCAGGTTTGGAGAGGATGCTGACACCTTTTAGAGGGCAAAGTCTTACAAATCAAATCAAATAAATAAAATTTCCTTGATCACCCTCCCAAATCCTCCTGCCACAATAAAATTCCAGAGAACTTTTTTTTTTTAATTCAGGTATAGTTGATTTACAATGGTGTGTTAGTTTTCAGGTGTACAGCAAAGTGACTGAGTTAGACACATACACACATATGTATTATTTTTCATATTCTTTTGCATTATAGGTTATTATCAGGTATTGAATATAGTTCCCTGTGCTATACAGGAGGACCTCGCTGTTTATCTATTTTATGTATAGTAGTTAGTATCTGCAAATCCCAAACTCCCAATTTATCCCTCCCCTTTGGTAACCATAGTTTGTTTCCTATGTCTGTTTCTGTTCTGTAAATAAGTTCATTTGTGTCCTTTTTTTTTAAGATTCCACATGTAAGTGATATCATATGATATTTGTCTTTCTCAGAGAGCCTTTTTAAGGCCACATTCCTACAGGAGAACAGAGAACTCTCAGGGTATACAAGCCAGGAAGCATTCTCTTTTTTTACTAACATACCAAAAAAACCTGTACAAATTTAATGTATGCATCTTGATGAATTTGAAGGAAAATATACATCTGTGAAACTACTACCATAAACGATAGCATAAACTTTTTTTTAAGTTGAAGCACAGTCAGTTACAGTGTGTTAATTTCTGGTGCACAGCACAATGCCCCAGTCAGCAATAGCATTCATTTAACCGGCACCTCTAAAAGCTTCTTTCCTCCCCCTTTTTTTTAATTTGGTGATAATAACATTTAACATAAGATGTACCCTCTTCATAAATGTTTAAGTGTACAATACAGTATTGTTAAGGATGCACCACACTGTACTACAGATCTACGACTTACCCTTCTTGCTAAATGAAACTATCATGCCCTGTTACCAACAAACATTCTTAACGTGCACACAAGTCGCGAAAACTCTGCAGATCACCTACGATGCCTTCAGGCCAGTCCCTCCTCCAGCAAACACGCCCATCAATGATCAAGACATCAGCCTTTCTGTTCACACTTCTGTTCTCCTCCTAATGGCTATTTAATTGTTCTCATTAGGATGTACAGAGGAAAGGAGCAGTCATTAGTCTTCTGAATAAAAGAAGAAACACACCCACGGATATTACTTCGCCAGGCTCAACAAACAACTTTTGATGGGATAACTGATGCCTTGGAGGCAGCCGTTGGAGACTGCGAGCACTGAAGTGGTACCCCAGGCACCGTGTACTCGGCTACTGATGAGCACGGACAGCGGAAAGGATTGCACTTTGGTAAATATCTCTCCACACACACACAAGCACATGCGTACTTGTATCTATTAAACAGGCAAGTAATAAATGCAAACACAGACTCTTGTGTACGCACATGTGCCTGTGCACACAGGTGCACCTATATTGAGAGGACTTCTGCAACAACTATTTGTTGAGAGCCAAAGAGAGACTACACTAAAGAGTGAGGGGGTGGACAATAGATAAGGTCCCTCTGGAACTTCTGCTCATGTTACAAATGAACATGCAGGAGAAGTGCAGTTTGTGATGAGCAGAAGGAAGGGTTTAAACGACATGATGCAAGTAACTGATGGGGGAGAGACGGGGCTACAAGTGCCCTCTGAGACAGGGAGGTCAGAGCTGAGACACGAGAAGTGAAAATGGCCAGAGAGGAGGCCAGAGAGGAAAGAAGGCGGGGGAGAGTGGTCTGGGACCAGGAGGAGTGGGGGGCACGCCACACCCACCGTGCAGGCCAAAATAAGGACTTGGGATTTTATTTTAAGGAACATTGGGAGGGCACTGGATGGTTTTAAGTAGGGATGTGGCAGGATCCAATCACCATTTTTAAAAATAGGAAGCCAAGACTGGAAGCGAGCAGAGCAATTAGGAGCTGCTGCAGTATTCCAGGCAGGAAGAGGGAGTAGAGATAATTAGGCGGATGGATTCAAGCTGCGTGTGGGAGGTAGAGCTGCCAGAACTTTCTATTGGATTGGGTCGGGCAGAGGAGGGAAAGAGACTTGAGCAGCCAGGATAGTGGTGATGTCATTTCGTGAGCAGAGGAAGGCTGCAAAAGGGGAGCGACGGGGGGATCAAGAGCTGCCCCCTCACAAACATGAAGTTTGAGATGTGCATCAGAGATCCAAGGAGAGAAACGGAACAGCCCGTGGACGTGTAGGCCTGGAGCTCAGGGGAGAGGTTCAGGCAGGGTGAGGTCACTGAGAGTAGACACAGCTCATCAGAGGATCGGATATTCAAGCACAAGGACAACCTAAAGGAGAGGGCCTCCCCTTCTCATTAGAGGCAGCTTTATCTTTGGGGACAGCCCGTGACGGTCGAGGGGAAGGTGTCCTCATGGTGCAGGGGACTAGTGGCAAAGGGAAAGCGTCCCCCAAGTTTACTGTTCCACTCAGAGTCCTCCAGCCCACACAGCCCTCCCTAGGAGACCCCCCAACTCCCCGCACTCCCCACTTCCTCTCCGCAGGCTGTAGAGCAAGGGGAGGAGGGTGACAGCCCAGGCTCACATAGAAGCCTATTGCCCTCAATCCATCCGCATGTTCAGCTTCACAAAAGCCTTAAAAATGGCATATCTCATTCCTACAATCTTCCCCTTCCCCCACCGATCAGAAGGAAGAGATGACAGATGAAGTGCATGGTGACCACCTGAGAACACCATGAACGCCCAGCCCCCTGCACAGCATCTCCTGTTTGAGAGGGAGGAGTAGGGGATCAGACACACATGCCCATCAGCATCACTGACTTACACTGGGGAGTGGACCTGGGGCTCGGGGTCAAGGATAACAGGCTTTGGTGCCACTCTGCGTCTCCATTACCATGAGCCTCTAGGATGTCTCAATAAACGTGAGTGACTCATCCAGGTAGAAGTCTTCTGTTGTGTTTCGCTTTTCCTAGTTTACTGTCTACGCACAACAGCACCAGTGGCAGCCAAAGTTAGACAAGGTCCAGCCGCCTCGAGCTCTCCGCCCCGCTCCAGGGCTGCCTGGAACAAAGCCCTGGGTTCTAAAGCTGAGCAGCAGCTCCTGTGAGAGGCAGCACTGGGAACCCCAGATCCACGAAAGCCCTGGGACACTCGCCCTCCCTTCCCCCAGCAGGAAGGAGGAGGCGGGGATGGGGGAGCAGTCCAGGTGAAGAGCAGCCCAGGAGTGTACCGGGAGTTCTCGGGGGGCCCGAGGCAGGGAGCAGGCTGCCAGCAATGTCCTTTCACAAAGGTCATGTTTTGCTACATTAGGCAGAAATGTCAAGAGAAAATTGGATTCTGAAAGAAAGAAAATAACAGGCGTTCTGGGCAAATAAAGAATAAGAAATAGCATTATCTCCTTATTACCAGTTAGAGGGAGCGGACCCAGGACACCTGGAAAGGAGGAGGTGGGCTCCTGCTCTCCCAAGGGAGTCTCAGCTGCAGCTCCTCCCCACCCGTCCCCCACCCACCCAGCCCCAGTGGAAGAAAGGGCCCCTCGGATTCCTCCAGCTTTTTGACCAGAAGGAGTGGCCACGGCGCTGTTCATGGGTTCTGTCTATGACTGCTCGCTCCCCTCCTCAGCAACTGCCCCACTAGTGCACACACCACCTCCTTCTACAGTCCAGGTGGTCTCCTTTTCCCAGCCCCTCCTGCCCCTCCTGCCCCTCCAGGCATCCCTTCTACAAGCTGCTTTTCACCGAGGGCTTACTAGGCACCAGGGACTGGGGTACACACTTCCGCAGTCACGATTTCATTTAATATTTACGGCAACCATACAAGGTAGGGATTGCTATTATCTCCACGAAACAGATGAGGAAACTGGGGCTCAGAGGTTGCCTACCAAAGCTGAACAGCTCTGAGTCACCTTAACGTAAAGACTCTGGCAACAGGCAACAAGCGGCACAGCCAGGAACGTTTGCAGCCAACACACAGACCTATAAACACCCAGGTACATGGACACACCCCCCAGTGCGAGTCCCCGGAGACAGCGATGCTGGGCTGCACAAGTCCCGGGAGGAGTCTGGTGCGCACAACCTGCGCAACCGTACACAGCGCCCTGCTAGAGACACACAATAGGAGCATCCAGCCCCAAAGACAAACAAACACACGGAAGACGAGGAAGGCAAACATACACCCCAACCAGGGCAAACAGGGCACACCTCTGGCCATCCTGCCCTCATAGGCAATTATAAATGCTCAAGGTGCAGGGCAGCTGGAGAAGCAGAGACACAGGGCTTGAACCAACTCACCACCCACTCAGAACTCACTGCCTCTGATTTTCCTTCTAGCCGATGCCTCACCTGTATTCGCCTGTCATCAGTTATGGATGGGCTGGTTACCCTGCTTATCAGACAAAGCTTTAATTAAGAACCGTCCTGCCTCTGGGCCCCACAGCTGCCTCTTCCCTGAGCCTCCTCCCTAACAGATCCATTATCACCTGTCTCTGACTTTTGCTTCAGTCAATGGCCAGTTTCCAAGCCACCTGACCACTGGAATTAATTTGGTGAGCAAGATTTTATGAGATGACGCATCAAACACTTTCCCCAAATCAAGCTCCGTGACATTGCGCCCGTATGTCTCATCTGAGACTACCAAACAAAGCTGTTAATTTTGTCCTGCACTGTCGGCTCTCACAGCCCAGACTCCGGGGCCCAGAGCAATGACCGATAATGATGTAGCTACTGGGTGGGTGCTTTGGAAACAGGGAGCCAGGCATATAGATGGCCAAACTCTGACTCTGAGGAGAGAGAGGCTGAGATGGTCCCTCCTGCTTTAGCTCCTTGGTGAACAGGGAAACCCTCAGCCTGGTAAGCAGTCCCATGACCCT